CACTCTTCTTGCAGTGTGCATGATAGGCCTGATTTTGTCGAAGGCAACATATCAAGAAGACTGCCAACTTTGCCATAATCCAAGCGACAGATACAGTAGCGCTGCACTTGAGCGAAGGTGGAAGCAACGCATAGAAAAATGAGCAAATACACAAACCTTTCTTCTGAGGATGTAATCTTTGCCATCAAATTCGTTCGAAGCATTTACCTTTGAACGGCAGATGATACAATTGTACCTGCCTCAAAGCGGTCGTACGAGAAAATGGAAGAGTCTTCTTGATATGTTGTCTTCGATTTTGTTCTAATTTTTTAACAATTCGAAGTTGACGACCTTGTATAGAGTTTTTTGACGTTTAATCGCTTTTCTCTATCTACAGGGTATCCACTTATTTGGCTAAATAAACTTCTCTGACTTTTCCAGGTTTTTCCACAAGTTTGGCGGATAATTTCCTGGATAATAATAAGAAAGCCATTTATGAAATGCGTTAAAAATATGACTTATTTTTTGTAAAACAACAACAACACCAATTAACACAAACGTTTTTAAGACATGACAATCAGTTTTAAAGAAATAGCTTTACTTCATTTTAGTAAGTCTAAGATCACAACATTTTTAATGTCTTGAAGGTTCGTACTAGCAAAAATGTGGAAACTTTTAAGAAGTTCTATTTATCTCAGAAAAACTAGATATAGAGATTTTTGGGGAATTCCAGAGATCTTAAACATAAGTCCCCGAAATTTTAGCCCAGACTATTGGATTGGTTTAAAAAAGTATAAGCCAGATTTTAGACAAATTCGGGATAATTCCATGATGTGCTGAAATAAAATCGAGAACCTTTAAGATGTAGGGGCCTCCCTTAGCTCAGTCGGTAAAGGTGCAGCTACAAAGCAAGACCATGCTGGAGGTGGCTGGGTTCAATTCCCGGTCCGGTCTAGGAATTTTTCGGGTTGGAAAATTACTCGACTTCCCTGGGCATAGAAGTATGATTGGAATTGTCACACAATTCCCAAGTAGCATTTCTTGTTTTATTGCACTCTATTAGTGGTTATTGAGATCAATTTCATAAAACCGCCAATAAAATTAATAGCTCCAGCACAACCTTTTGATAACCGCTATAAGATCGTCATACAGCTTAGTGGACCACTCTTGATAAGGTTTATAAAGCATGTTTGAGAATCACAATAAAGCTGTCTTAAAACCTTTTGTCAGGAAGCCTCATACTCTATAAAAGGTTCTCATAGCCTCTATAAGAGTAATATTGTATCCAAGCAGTTTTATTACGCTTTTGTGAAAATCAGTTATAAAGCCAATTTAATTTGTATTGGCTTCAAAGCAACCGCCATAAATTAGCTTGTTGTTGTTCTGTTCTGCTGAAACTTTTTTTTCCAAATGGAAATCTTTAGCGGTAAAAATAGGTTTGAGTGTTGGTGTCAAGATCACCATGCCATCAATTTTGTTTCATGGCGACATTAGTGATAATTTTAAAGAAAATATATGACTTTTTAGAAGTTCCAAAACATATGCGCTTGAAATGTTATCGTGTATATTGAGATAATATGAGCGTTAAATAAATGCGCCTCCAAAATAATTCAAGTTAACAAACAAGATTGTTTCAGAAATCAAATGAATTTGATGGAATTACCTTAATTTTACAGAAAATTGATCTCAATACATAAATTCATACCAATACACACTGGAAATCATTTCGGATCTCTTATTTAGTCATTATTTTATTGAAATTTCTTGGATTTTATTCCAAGGCTAATGGCATTTTCATAATGACAATATGGCGACAGAGGACAGCAGGCAAGAAAAACACCAAGCGCAATTTCTTAAAATGTCTAATGCTTACATTGCACACTGGGTCAGGAATGCAACCTAGCGGATCAAAATTAATAACTCCGAAACGAAGCATTTCCGCGACTTGGTGTCTTCGGCAAAATTTCTCGTCATAATAAGGACCATCTATTGACATAAACAAATAGTTCAAAACTCTCCCGCAAAGATGGTGCCACAATCTAACTTCTTTCTCTGACGTTTTGGAGACTTGATGTTTTGGGCAAAGTTGTTTATCTTGACAAAATAAACAGCTATTTCAAAGACGTTAAATTTCCTCTGTCTACTGGTTCCAAGTTATATGGAGTTAAAGAAAAAAATGTCAAAAATATGGTTTTTTTCTGTTTCGGTTTTTTTTTTGCTTACAGCTTTATAATGTTTTATTATTCTCTTATGCAAATACACTAAATAATTAGCTTTTGTGAAGAAACATACTGGATTAAGCTTCAAATTTCAAAGATATTGTTGAAAAAACGAGAAAAAAAAACACAATATTTGAACATTAATATCTCCCAAAGCGCAAAAAATCGCAACTTTCTCTTTCGTTGATAACTTATTCACAGAACCGTTTCTTGATGTGTTTGTCGTATTGGATGCTAGATAAAAGCTTCTTTTATCGATTTATGTGCTGAAAATACCTGGGAATGTCTTTACATGACCGTGGGGATGCAAAGAGAAAGTTGACGAAGCGAATCTGTCAATATTACTTAGAACCTAATGCAATGTTCAGCTTGAATTCATTTTTTTATTTGAGGGCAAATGCATATTCCTATTCTACGGGTGCAACCGATGAATTTTACAAACATTTAGAAAAATTTTTAATGGTACATTAACCTTTATGAAAAGTTATGCGTGATTTCAACCTTTTTGCCCTAGGACTGTCACCATTTCGACCAAGATTCGACCGTGTCACCCCATATATATGCGAGCGAGACGTATACACGAAATGTTTTCATGCTCATGCTAACAATTTTGTTGATTTTCTTTGCGCTCCGCTTGGAAGTACCGGAAAGTTTTGATTCTTTTCTATGTTGTAAAAATAAACCACCTATTTACATTTCTGACAAGTCGCAACTGAATGCTTATAATTGTTTTAAAATAACTGTTTCATGGCCAACTAGTTTTATTGCGCTTATTTATAAAGCAACGAAAGGATTAATTTTTTGGTTTTATAAGGGCAATTTATATTACTTTTTTGTATACTTCAAAGCAATCATAAAACCTTTCATAAGTGAAAATAGCATAAGTATCAGTTGGTTTTTTTAATTAGCTTTATAGGGGTTTTGTAGATAGCTATAAGAATGTTTCATGACTTGCATTGTATATGACCGTCATAAAGCTGTAGGTAATGGTTGCAGCTGCAATAAAACCTTTATAAATTTGGAATATAGCCAAGCAGCTCTAGATTTGTTACTTGGGTTATGCCAATGCAAAAATGGTACAGGCATCGAAAGCTCTCAACTAATAACTGTGGAAGCGCATCTAGAACACTAAGTTGAGAGCTCGCAATAAGCTAATATGCGATATGCAATAAGCTTGAAATGCGAAGAAGAAGAAGAAGAAGAAGAAGAAGAAGAACCCTGAAGATGTTCCGAGAGATTCAGTACAGAGACCTTCAGAATATTTATAAAAACTTCAGAAATATGTTAAGAACTTGACAGAAATCCAAAGAGTTCCTGGGAAGTTTAAATGTGTTCACGAGAATCAAAGGGCAGTTAAAAAAATGTCAAGGAAATTGCAGAAACCTTAAATAAGTTTCAAGAAAATTTCCGGGACTTTTTGCTCAGAGAAAATTTCTGGAACGCAATCAAAATTATAAGAACATCTGGAAAATTTGAGAGTATTTCATAGGTGTTATATCATGGAAGCAGGGTTCCTTCCATTCATTTCGGCAAAAAAAATGTTTTATTAAATTATGGAATAATAAGATAATATGATAATATTTTGCTTGTGTAAGCAACAAGAAAATATTTTAAAGCTTGTGTTTGACACATAATACCTGCCAATTTTGCTACATGAGAGTCGCAATAAGCGATTTTGTCATTTATCTCACCCACTCTTCGCTCTTCACTCTTCGCGAAAAGGCGATCAGAAAACCACTCATTGTGACTCTGTCAAAGCTAAATTTGCAAGTTTTATGTGTCAAACACAAACCTTACAATCTTGTCTTGTTGCTTACGCAAACCTATTATTATCATAATATCTTATTATTCCATAATTTAATAAAACATTTTTTTAGCCGAAATGAATGGAAGGAACCCTGCATGGAAGTTTCAAGATCAATTTTTTTTTTAAACTTAACTAAGTTGATTAGAGAATATCAACGAAGTTCCATTAATTAAAAAAATAATGCGAGAACTTTTATCAAGAACCAATATTTTCAAGAAATACCAGAGAAGTAAAGTAAATTTAGATATTTTAAGATTGTTTCGTTATATTCAGTGAAGTTCTGAGTACTTCGAGGACGATCAGATAACATCACAAAAATTCCATTAACTTAAGGAAATATTCAGCGACTTTCAAGGAGTTCTTTGGAATTGTGGGATATTCCGAGAATTCTATGAATGATCTAAAATCTTAAAAAGATTCAGGGAATTATAAATATATATAAGAAAAATTACCGGAACATTTGATCAATTTAGAGAAATTAAAGTAAGCATAGGAAACTTCAGGGAAAATAAGTGATTCCGTGAGCGTTTATAAACTTTATAAAACTTATGGAAAATTGTAGAACTTAAAGGCAATTCTATCAATTCCAGCAAAATTGTGGGTTCTTTTAAAAAATACTAAGATATTTAGAGCAGTCTGCGTGACGTTACAACGTTTTGTACTTCTCGATACACTACCCAACACTAAGAGATGAACTAGCCTTAGGCTAAAAATCTCTATAATAAAGGAAAAAAAAAAAAAAAAACACTACTCAACACGTGCTCACTTGAACGTTTCAAGTTACTCAAATCAGAAACTCTTGATCAATTCTTATCGGAAATTGAACTTTCCAATTCTGCATCATTTCAGCCCTAGCTAGAACTCTAAAGCTGCGTTATATTTCGCGTCTTATACCTTATACCCCAATTGAAAAAAAGAAAACAAACACAACGAGCAAAAGATGATTGCGAGTTGCATTGACATTCCAAGCAAACAAACCCCACCCCCAGGCTTACCTCATAGCCGAGCTTATTCAAGAACAACTTCATCAACGGTGGATCCTCTCCGAAGAATTTGGTCAACTTCTTAACCCGTCTCGGATTGGTCAGGTTCATGGGTTCCTTCGTGCTCGCATTGCCACCTGCAGCAGCTGCAGCCGCACCGGTACTCGCATTCAACGGAATATGGTGCATCGACTGGGACCGCAGGATTGCCATATCGTTCCGAATCTCCTCCAGTTCCTGTGCAACAACGTGTTGCGAACGCATCTCCGACGACAGATGAGCCACACTACGAGCTAGGGTGACCACGTGCGATTCCAACCGCTGGAAGCGTTTGTTAATGCCACGGATATCTCGCACCTTTCGGCGTTCATCTGTTCGTCTGCGGTCCCGTATGGGTCGACCACTAACCGAACTGGATGGAAGTGACGACAGGCTGCCATGTCGCCGTCGACGGTTGGCCCGTTGATTAATGTCGTTGCTGGCCATACGATTGCCAAGCATCTTTAGCACCTCACTGTACATGGATTCCAGACCCTCCAGCTGGTTACGGATCTGCTGCAGCCCACCGTCCGTTTCCGATTCACTGACTGATTGACCAGCGTCCCACGGACCACCGAGAAGTGATTCCAAATCCAGCGAACGGGTTGTGTTGGTTACCGAAGCACCATCCGTGTCCAGGCCGAATACTGTAATGGGAAAAAACTGAAGTTGACGTTTCTATTCATCTACAGGGTTACTCACGGTGTTTTTTGAGCATGTTCTGCTCATGTTTCTTGCTGCTCGATGACAGCTTGAGATTGTGCATATAGTTCTGTATTGTGTTCACCGACGGCTGCCCCTTGGAGGGTCCAATCGGCTGAGGTTTCTTGCTGGCACGGTTGTAAGTATCCGTTCCGTATTCCTGTTTAGATTGGTGTTTTGAGTTCCCTGACCTGTTGTGAGAGATGTTTGGTCCACCTCCGACCGTCGTGTGGTACGGCGTACCTCCATCGGGTGATAGCGGAGGCAACGGAGGTGACATAGAAGACGCACTTTCCGACATGGTGCTCTCCGGGCGGATCATCATGCCTTTGATGCCCGGTTCGAGAATGTTGCGCAACTCCGCGTCAACGACGTCAATCTATGAATAGATGCGCGAGTTAGCTTTTCAAATTGTTGGAAAATTTGGAGAACTTACCCATTCTGATTCCGATTTGCTTCGGGCTCTATCGACCTGCTCCACCATGTTCATATTGACCTGTTGCTGAACTGCTCCCTTTCTTCCACTGGAATACGCAGCACTTCCACGTCCAGAATCTACATTTGAGCTATGGTTTCCATTCCGATCGTAATCGGAGCTCGAAATGGAATCAATTTGCTTGTTTCCGTTGGAATTCATCTGCACAACGTGGGAGGAATCCGAAGCTATCTGCACCACCGTATTATTACTGTTCTGGTTTCCGTTCACCACGTGGGAAGGATTCGGTGTTTTCTGCATAGGTTTTGGACCAACTGAAGGACCACTGGTATCCATAGGGTTTTGGTTTTTGTCCATCTGCTCGTGACCGTTATAGCTGGATTCGCCTATGTTGATTGTCATGTGACCTGTACCGTGGGAAAGCTGTTGCTGTTGAAGCGGAACGGGGTTATCGGAGTATTCAGCCAAGATCTTGTGTCTGGATTGAGGAGTATGTTGATAATTTCCTGAGGTCATTTGAGGCGTCAGCTGTCCCGATTGGGGATGATTGTGACGGTAGTTGTGGACGTAGTTCTGCTGCAATTGACGACTGTGTTGTTGAGCTGGGGTTTGAATGTTAACACGTGAATTGTTGTGCTGACGGAATCCGCCGTCATCGCTGTCCGTACCATCCATTTGGTGGGGGAAGTTGGGGACAGTTCTATTGACGTCGATCGTAGCAGTGTTCAGCTGAGGTTGTGACACAGCTTTCACACTACGGAATCCGGTCAGTGAATCAGCATTGTAGCCATCTGCTGGATCCGCAAACTTCTTGTGGTAGTACAACGGGGACTCACCCCTCGTATTTGAACTCCAAAGATTTATATTGGACTGGGCGTGGCTCAGGTTGTTGCCTTGGCTAACCCCCGGCATTAGGAATGATGACCCGAGACTGTCCTGTTGCTGTTGTTGTTGGAGCTGATGCTGAAGCATCGATGCGACGTTGTTCAACTCGTCTTCAGCCCCGTCCGGGCTGTCCTTCTTGAACTTGGACGAAATCAAATCTTTAAGTTTATGATAATTTTTCGAAACAGATTTCTTTACGGTTTCTCTATCTTTTGAGAGCCCTTCGCGCTCGGCTAGAGCTGTAATATCCTCCGGCAGGCGGACCGCGTTACGAGGGATCGTTCCCGTAATGGATGAATGGATGACCTCAATTTGAGCTTGATTCTAAAACATAACAAAAAAATGAATATATCAGAGAAAAAATCAATATTCCTTTTATTTTTTATAAGGAAGGGGAAGGGTCAACATGCAGCAAGGGATGGCAATATTTGAAGAATTATATTTCAGGCATCATTCTTCTACCATTGCGTTGCTAACGAAGTAAGTCATGAAAATTGAATCACGCTCCAAACAAAATTTGACCGACCTTAGAAAAGTCGGAACTGTTCTCTGTTATTACAAACATTCCTATTAATGAACTCTCTAGCTCCTCTTTTCACTGTTCGTGCCTGGACTGTTGAATAGGAAAAGATAGTAGTAGACATAGCAAAGATCCTCGCACTCATCTGCAGCAAGCGGAAAATTTTGTGCGCTTTTTCTATGATGGAATTTCTTCGGGATTGCTTGCATCCTGCTATCGATTTTTCTTCTTCAAAGTCCTGCGAGAGCAGCAAACGGGTGGAATGATAGCACGCGCGAAGGACTTTCTCATTCATCACTACAACAATTAGGCGAAAACCCTTTTCCGCTTGATTTCTTTTTGTTCAACGCTTCGCTCGGAGCAACATCGAAGGAGTTGCGAACCGGTTGCTTGGACCGTGAGAATCGTGTCTTTCGATCCAAGCAGGCTTATGAAAAATTGAAACACCGATTTTGACACCTTTTCTGCGTCGGCAAAATTTTACCCTTTGCGCGGAAGGAAGATCCTTTTCAGAATTGACTGTCCGTGCCCAATATCATGCGCTGATAAGGGTACAGCTTCAGAGGGAGGATGTTTGAAATTATTTTAGATGAAGGCTGACGATATCACGGTTATTAACGATAATGTGATTGGCCGTGCAATGACGGAAGATGCTTTTCACTCAAAACTGATAAAACTTTAAGCTTGATTTTTGGCGCGTGCTCGTCGCGTTTCCATTGACATCAAATGGACAAAATGCTCCTTCGATTGGCAAATAATGATTATGGGCTTGCTGATTCCACTACGGCATATTCCATAGCACGAATAGCTTTCACAATTCCGCTTAACCGAATCTACAGTTATATTCCTTTCACGTAAAGCCATTAAAATTGAATTTCGCAATAATTATACTATTTTTATCGAAATTGAAATCGGATTCACACTTTCGCGTGAAATGTGTGTCGATATTATTTTTTCGGAATAAAAGCAAAATTGAACATCCAAGCAAGTAAACCATAAAAGATCTTCAGGACGTGGGGGTGAGAATCGCTTTTCAATTCAAGTTTTTACGACGTAGATCGTCATCCACTCGTTTTGCGCATATATCTCGAAAGAACGATGATGAATGCTGTTTTCCTTTGGGATAATGCCTCATAAAAATAACGTTACGTATCGTGTTAGAATGTGTTTTATGCCACTGTTTACGGTCATATAGGCCGTTTTGATATGAAATTTTACCCTCCATATTGAGGGCAAGGCGACCAAAGAGAATTAGGAGGGTACTGGAGAACCACATTCTTAAAGTGCGTAGCGTGCCATTACTCGGTTAAATTTGCAAGTTGGGAATGCTTGCCGGTGGATTCTTAAGGAGCGTTTTCCAGGAAAATAGTGTCCCAACCCCATCATTCTTACCCATGCCTGAGTTTGCTTGGTCGGCAGGTCCGGTCCCACAGCGGAAACTGACGAACGGTTCAACAATGGAATGCTTGTGTTTCGGTTATCTTGCATCAACGGAATCTTGGAGGCGTTCTTGTTCGAGGACAACACCAGCTCACGTTCGATCTGTGGAATTTCACATCAAGCATTAGACATTTGGTCATTTTGGTCACTCGATTTGACTTACCGGAAATTTGCTGGAATGTGTTCGCAGGGGCGGACTCAGCTGGTGTGGACTTTCGGTTCCTGCGGCTGTACCGGGGATGGGATGGTCATTTTGCACACCATACGTCCCGAGTGGCTGCGGAGGCATTCTATACGGCGGATTCATGCAGTTGACGAATTTCGGTCCGGCCGGTGCAACGATACTTTCATTTTCCACCGCTGTACGAGAAACAGAAATAGAGAAGGTAATTAGGTTACGAGGTTCACTTGCCGCCACGGATTCGATAAAATAATAGTCATTCTTCAATCGGTTGTTTTTCCATTTGCGTTTTGTTTCTCGACCCGGTTCGATAGTGGCTGTACCGTGGTAGACCGCAAAGCAGGCCAACAGAGTTTGGAACGTGGCAAAAGTTCCCATCCAAATTTTGGCCCATCGCAGTAGTAAGAAATGGATGGATGACTAGACGATATTTTGGTGCGAAAAATGAAACGTGCCCGGCAAGACCCCTTAGCGGTCGTAGTAGGGCATGAATTGCACAAAACGGGATATGGAAACCAGCCAACTAAGATTGGCTTTTTTTAGCGCCAGCCCACGAAAGTCGTTCATTAATGTCCACCCTCCTATGCTCAGAGCCGACTTGTTTATCTTTAGTTTCAATATTTTGCTTGAACAATCACTACTCATCCCTCCCGAAAATTCCGTTCCAGCCCAAAGCGGAGTAAACGCGAAAAAAAAAAGAAACGATTCCGCCCCGAAAACGTCATTCATTGTTCGGAGTGTGGAAAACGGCTTAAAGTCATTCACATCTCTGCCGATAGCCAAAACAGACCGAACTGCTGTCTGCTGTGAGGAGGGTTTGGGAAGATTATTTGATGGATGGGTGGCTGTCTGGTGTGGCTTTTCGATGGGCTTTAATTTGTTTGGAAACTGTTGGCCTAAGAGCTGTTGAAGAAGCATTTTATTGCCTTTTTTCAGCGATGATTCTTAGATCATTTATTATGCAGTCCGACTGGGGTGGTTTTGGTGTGGAATTTCGTATCATTGTTCAAGTTGCAATTTAAATTAGGTAATTGGTTATGCGTTGAGTTTGCTTGCAATTTCAAATGATTGTGGTGCGGTTTCACAACTAAATATTGAATTAGTGCCACTGTTTTCATAGCACCTACGATGAGAGAAATCTGTCCAATGGTTTCTAAATTGAAATACATTTGAATTTATTTGTTCAGGGCATCCAAATTAATTGCCTTTTGGATAAAATGTATCAACCATTTGAAAAGTTCATGACGGATTTCACGCCAACTCATCCAGTGGTTGGCAGCACCCTCTCAGAACCTTATGGAACTTTGTGGGTGTGGAGACTTAGCAATTTTAAGCAACTTTGAGTACTTATTTTTTTCAAAATTTATCTCGCCTAACATTTGATAAGGGTCAAAGTTTTTTGTCGATTTTTTTTTCAAATCGATATAGCTTAAAAATGACAAGCCCTACAAAAAAGTGATGTATGGCGAACTTTTAGCAAATAATCTGAAATTTTATAAAAAAATTTAAATAAAATAAAAAATCGGTTTCTACACTCTAAAAAAATATATTTAAAAATTAAAAGTCATTTTCCCAAAAATGGTACCCCTCAGATTTGCTTGATATTTTTTCTCATGAAAGGCAATATAATTACCTAACTTTTCTTCATACATCGCAAAGTGGGCGCTTTTAAGGAAAAAAAGTTGTTCGAACAACAACTTTTTCATGTTAATTTTTTTTAGCGTGTTTCACTCAAAGTCGAATAGTAATACGCGCACAACCTTATTAAAATTCGATTAAACTTTATGGGTATACTTTTCGATAATCTGGGCGAAATCTAGCCTAACATTTGAAAAGGGTACAGAGAAGTTACCTGCAAATCGTCCAATAAGAGTTCAGAACAAAACGTTCTAATGAGGAACAGCCATCTCAGCATGGTTTGCACTTTCCTGTGATGGATTGTATTATAATATATGCATACACTCTATCCAACTTCTATAAAACCACCCTCAAATTGTTCCAAATCAACAGGTAAACTAAGTAAAAATCACTTAGTATGTTTTATTCATGAAAAGATTTCAATTCATGTATTTGTGATTAATTTAATTAGAAAAATAATCATTCATTTATTTTTATGTATTAGGTGTGTCCATTAGTAAGCAATATGCATAAATTCAAAACTCAGCACAGGGGTATCATTGGAACAATAATCAAGCTACGATACATCCTTTCGAAATTTACTACATAAAAGAAAACAAGTTGGAAAATTTAAGCTTTATTATTATTTCAGAAGTATTGACCCATGATACAATAGCAGTTCAATTATTTATATCAAAATTGTTAGATTTCATTAAACAATCTATTAGTTTCACAAAAATTACTTTCATGTCAGATGGAGCAGCGGCTCATTACAAAAATAAAAAGAATTTTGCCAGTTTGTGCAACTTCAAGTCCAAGTATGGATTGGAAGCAGAATGGCACTTCTTCGCAACGTCTCATGGGAAAGGCCCATGTGACGCAATTGGAGGAACTCTCAAACGAATGGCAAAGAGAGCAAGTCTTGCTCGAGATTATGGAAACACAATCACAACTCCACAAGAACTGTATGACTGGGCAGTTAAACAAACAGATACAAGCATAACAAAATTGAACTTCTGCTTCATATCAAATGATCAATACACAAAGATGTCCGATGAACTCAAGGAGCTGTTCAGTCATGTAAAAACTATACCTGGTACACAAAAATTTCATTGTTTTGTACCTATTTCTCAAAACATAATTTCTACTAAGCGATTTTCACATTCAAAGGAAACTCCGAAAAATTTCACTCTGTTTCCGATAGACTAATAATCAATGAAAAACTCAAATTATGTAAGGAGAATTATAGGAAAATAAATTATGCACTAAACAAAACATTTCATTTATTAAAACACCATTCGAAATGCAGGAAAATCCTCTGTATTAGGCCCTTTCAAATGTTAGGCTAGATTTTTGTTTTAAGCACGCCCAGATTATCAAAAGGTCAAAATCTTTATGCTCATTAAGTTTCAACGGATTTTAATAAGGTTGTGCGCGTATTACTATTCGACTTTGAGTGAAACACGCTAAAAAAAAATTAACATGAAAAAGTTGTTGTTCGAACAACTTTTTTTCCTTAAAAGCGCCCACTTTGCGATGTATGAAGAAAAGTTAGGTAATTATATTGCCTTTCATGAGAAAAAATATCAAGCAAATCTGAGGGGTACCATTTTTGGGAAAATGACTTTTAATTTTTAAATATATTTTTTTAGAGTGTAGAAACCAATTTTTTAATTTATTTAAATTTTTTTATAAAATTTCAGATTATTTGCTAAAAGTGCGCCATACATCACTATTTTGTAGGGCTTGTCATTTTTAAGCTATATCGATTTGAAAAAAAAAATCGACAAAAAACTTTGACCCTTATCAAATGTTAGGCGAGATAAATTTCGAAAAAAATAAGTACTCAAAGTTGCTTAAAATTGCTAAATCTCCACACCCACAAAGTTTCATAAGGTTCTGAGAGGGTGCTGCCAACCACTGGATGAATGTAAATTTCTGCGCACAAGTAGTTGATGCTAATTTGGCTTAAATTAACACAATATCACTTAAATCAGCAATACTCTGGACAAGTTTGTAAAAAAAATAGTTGAATATACACTCCCGATCATAAGTTTAAGGACACCCCCAAATTGTTCAATATAATTTTCAAATTTTGTGTGCTAATAGTTCACCCAAAGCTACAATATTTTTCAAAATTTACTCTAAAGAATCGTGATTGATTTTCTCAGAATTGGGTTGGCTAAATTTTGAAATAAAAGTAGTAGTAGAACACTCCCAAAAAACCATGCAAATAACCTTTGGAGATCGAACATTGAACGTAAAATGAGAGATCATTGAACAAAACATATTTGCATGGTTTTTTGGGGGTGTCCGTAAACTTATGATTGGTAGTGTAACAACTATATATTAAAATTAGAAATTGAAAAATGTTGCATCGGGTAGGTTTAAATTCAGATTTAATCAGTACATGAAATAACATGTCGCCATTCTCATTAATGAATTCTTGACAACAAGAATAAGTATTACAGCCGGCGCCGGTGGTGTAGTAGTAAGCGTGACTGCTTTCTCACCCCAATGGGTCTGGGTTCAATCCCAGCCGAGGTTGGTGGGATTTTTTTCATGCATAAAAATCTCTGGTCACGTCTTCCTTAGGAAGGGAAGTAAATCCGTTGGTCCCGGCCCATGTGTGCTGAATGGGTGCAATATCCTACGCAGGTGTGGAAGCTGCCTTCCTGTACAATCGATTGCCGTCAATGGATGGCAATCTCCTTGAAATCTCGTGGTATATTATTTAGAATTAAGAAAAGTGTTATTCCAAAATTTTCTTGGATTTCACCTCAGAATGCTATAAAAAATCAACAGGATTTCCTTGAAATGCTTCTCAAAATGCTATTGATGAGATTATCTTGGATTTTATTTTTTTAGAATCTCCTGGAACACTATTCAAATATGCTCAAATTTCCAGCGAAATCATCCCAAACTTTTTGATATTTCTTCAAAATTCTCTGTTTCCGCCAGGGTTGTGTTCGGGGTAGTAGAAGATGCGGGGCTAGTAGCAGGTCACTTTTTAGTGACTAGGTCATTATTTTTAAGTCAGTCACTAAAAAGTCACTTAAGTCACTTTTTCCCATGTGAAAAAAATCATCAAAATGTTTAAATTGTGTACTTGGCACTAAGGAAGTCTACAGTAGAAATATTCATATCTGTTTAAAAATAACAAGTCTTTTAAGAATTATCTAGAAATTTTAATAAAAATTCCAAAGAAAATTTGAAGAAAAATTCAAAGGAATTCTAGAGATGACACCACAATATTTCAGAGAAGAATACCAAACTACACACTACGAAAGTCGCATGTGAATTTAGGTGCACTGAGGGCCAATTTGTTCACCACCGCTTAAATATTAAACCATATAGTTAAAACTGGTTTAAGGCTTAAGCGGAGGTGAAAAATCGAACATCACTTTTGACATTAAATGATTAAAACGCAAAATTCAGCTCCAAAACAATTTTTGGATGAATGCCTAGATCTGGGCGTCACAATATCAGCTTCAATCGACCAAATCGATGCGGCGAAGAGACTGCTGGCTCAGTGTTCACTCGGCTGTCGACAAAAGCAGGC